TAATTACAACACCCTGTAATTATTTTATTTTAGATGCAGAATTAAAAAATGTTCTGTATCTGTACATGTTCTGTATTTAAAGTTTTCTTAAAGTCTTAACGGTTTCACAGATATTCGCTTTTTCAGTAGTATTGAAAGGCAAAAAACCATTAGAGTTCGCATATAAATAAATATTGCTGTCCTTTTACAGGCAAAATTACATGGTGTCATTGCAAAATTAAATGGAGCAAAAAAAAGCCTTTTTAAACCGCGAGCACAATTTTCTTTAATGTTTACCTACCATTACATTAGGCATACCGAGTGTTTTTAAAAAGTGATCCAGATAAAAAAAATAAATTTGATATGTTAGTGTATGAAATAAATTAGAATCACGTATTCAGTTAGTTTCAGTCACCTCATGTTTCATCAGAAATTACTACAACTTTGAATTTTTAAATGGTATCATAGGTATTTTTTTACTTTGTTTGGTAGAAAATTACATTTTGTAATAGACTGCCATATCATATATCACCTTTTAACATGTTTGCTTAAAAATAGTATTTTAAATTTGAGTTTTGAGTGCCACCACAAGAAATATAAAGCTAATTTGAATCGAAATATCAAGTATGTGTTACCCAAATTATTCGCAAAAAATTGCTCTTTCCGAAAATGTTAATGAACCATGCTCGTTCCATTTGAAAATATTGAGTTATGATTAAAAATTCAAGTTGGGAATTTTTTAACCTACCAGAAAATGGCAATTAATTAAAATCTACAAACTAAAAATTAGTGGTTTTAGCATAGCCTAGATTTAACCTAACCTAACTTAAACTAACTGAATACGTCAATCATTCCTGATTTTTGTCATATAATAACATATCAAATCTGTTTTTTTTATCTGAAAAAATATAATAGTTATAAGCTTGAGCCACTTTTGAAAGACATCCGGTATTCAGTACCTATTTATGGTCTTACATTGACATACATTTTTCTTCAAATAAGTTTTTGCAAATGTATATCCCACTATATTTTATTTGTTTGCTTTTCAATTAAATTTTATTTCAGCTGGACCATATTTTTACGGAAAATATTCAAACAATTTTTGTCGAAGCATGCAATAATATTTTATTGTTTTTTTACCGTTTAAAACCGTTGTTAAATGTGTAGGTTGTAGGTTGTTTTTAGAAAACCATCAAAACAATATTAAATTCGGCGAAATATTGGGGGCTTGTATTTTTATAAATCCCTTTATACCAACCATTCATAAAAAATCAGCCAGTAATCAAAATATATGTTTGATGTATAGTATTTTTAAAATATTTATATGCTATTGAAATAAAATCATATGGTAATGGAATAAAAGCAGTTCTGCATATGTGTAGAAACAATTCAAAATATATTAGTTGCGTCTTAGTTCCGTTACCTTATCATCTTAGTCTCATTCATTCAACATCTGTGACGGCTATTCAAACATATCATTCAAGAATTCATTGTTTTCCGAATGAGTTAGTTGTAATGGTTTACTTTTAAAATATGCGAAATGGATAATAATTTTACAAACAACGAAATTATCTGATTTTTATCTGTATCTTTTGACTGAAGAAAAATTCGGTAACCTGTAAGGAATTTATCGACAATAAAACCATATACAGGATTGACACAGGCTTCTGGAAAAGCTCTATATTAGCTTTTCGGTTTGCGATTTTTAATCCAATTTTTTTACTTTCAATAATATGGAGGCAATGGTAACGAGTATTTTGAAAATATTTTTCTCAACATATAGGGGAATTCAAGCGTATTTTTAAACCAAAGTTGTATATTTTTCGATATTTTTAAATGGATTATATTTATATTGGATATATTATTAATACTGATATATAATATGTCATTCTATTGAGAGTGTCATCTTCTATTGAATAAAGTAAAAGTTTAAAAATTAAAAGTAGTAGCCATTTCCGGTAAAGCCGGAAGTGACCGAAAAGAATTGAATATGTCAATCAATCCTAATTTAAGTCATATATAGCATAATCATATATATTAGTTATAACATACCAAAACCCGTTGTTTTATCTGAAAAAATAAAAAAGTTACAGGGATGAGCCACTTTTGAGACGCACCCGGTATTAAGTTTCCTCTATCAGTTATTAACGTGTAGGATCACGTGCTTGATTATGCAATAAAGCCTTGCGATGAAGCCGTCCACTGTCTAGAGACTGCCCTGTGTTAGGTCCGCCATCGCCATAACAATTGTTGTTATGGATGACATTACACCAGTTAATTTATATTGAACAAATCTACATTATTTGAGTTTATAGTCTAGTGAAAATGAACGACAAGCAAGTTATTATTACTGAATTTAATGGAAAGTGTTTAAAACTCTGCAACTAAAAATAATTTTAAAAGAAATAGGGCTGAATGTAAACCTTTATATTCTATAGGAAGAGATATATGAAAGATAATTGAGTACGGTTCTGAAAGGAAATATTTATATCTTCTTTAATGGCATATAACAAAATAGAAACGAAACTAACAAGCAAAATAGAAGAATACATAAAATGTGGACATTTCTTTAAACAAAATTTATTGAAGAGGATAGGTACATATAAAGGTGGGTGCAGACCTGACGAGACGAGAGCAAGACGAGACAAGAGCAAGACGAGACCAAGGCGAGAGCGAGACGAGAGCGAGAGGAGAGTGAGACATCTTCTACACAGTTTTTGAGGAAAGCCTGCCACAAGATAAGCGAGTTGGATCATACTGAAAGGAAGCCAAACACATATTAAATTGTAGTTAAATATAACAAACGATGGCCAAATAATAACGCATACAGTAATAAATTTTTTACCTTTAACATGGTTCGTCGTATTTTATTGCGCACGTATCGCTCTCGTCTCGTCAGGTCTGGACGTACCTTAAGGATAAAGTATGTACAGTTGTACAAATATAGGAAGAGACTTGGGGATAGCACCGGTTCCGTGTTATTTTATATTTCTCACGTCTCTAGTTGTACAACTTAACAAGTATAGCTACAAGTTGTACAACTTGACAAAGTAACAACACCTCACAAGTTGACAAGGGCACGGTAGAGATACCGATTTTCGTCGGTACAAATTTGCGATATCTGTCATAGGGCCGATCGGTAACTAAGATAACAACAATCAACCCGACGCTCATTGGCCGTACGTACCGATAGCTGTCGGTAACTTGCCGATACCGACGATTGTACAGAATAGCGCCCCAGGACAAGACAATAAAAATATTAGACGATCAAATCTATTTTTCCAAGGCTCCTTGATCAAAAATTAGTGTTTTTAACACATCCATGGCACTCTAGATTGAAAATTAAAATACAATTTGTTATTGAGTGAATATGTCAAAAGTTGACATATGATATGACATTCGATTCAGAGTATCATTTTCTATCAAATAAAGTGAAAAAAATACCAAGGTTGCCATTTAAAAATCAAAAGTTTTATTCATTTCTGGTGGAACAGGAAGTGACCGAAAGCCACTTTTGAGACGCACCAGGTATATTTACAGAAAATTTACAATTATTTGGATGAATTTTTACATTGTATTTTGTTATTCTACAAAGTAAGCTGTACTTTTTATGTAAATTTGCGAATAATTGGAGAATTGTTAAGCCGGGCTCAGACAACTTGTGTATTTGGCAAACTTTCGTTTTTGACATACAGGGTCCGGCAATATTGCGTCGGTTACGTCTAACTCCGATAATAAACGACTTAGAAATTTAGTAAAGTGCAAACATAAAGTATGTAATGTATAGTTTTCAATTCAGGATATGTCTGTCTTGTATTTTTAATATATTTTTTAAAAAGGCTGAAAAAATATTTTTGAGGTAAACTTCTTTTTGCGCAATGGGTTGACCGTGACACACCACGGCCTTGACACGACATGGCCATGCCTTGAGGCACGAGCTAACGAGAAAAAAGTGGCTAGGAAACATCAAAAAACTTTTGAATTAAAGCTATGAAAAGCATTATAATAAACTTGATACTGTACTTGGGTACCAATATCTTCTGGTTGTGTGCTCGGAAGTAAATTTTCATGCATATTCATCGATAGGTTTGTAGCTTCTGCATAACGGCAAATTGAATAATAATGACTCGGAATAATTATTAAAAAGTGTCATCGCGTTATAGATGTCGCTGTCTTGTCTCTTGTTTCATTAGCCGTTTAGCTATAATTTAATTTCAGATAATGCAGATTTTAATGTGCCATTTGTGTTTTTTTATTGGAATTATTATTTTTAGCATATTTTGTATACTCTATGAAGTGATTTTAAGTGCTCCTGTCCATTTTTCAATTATTAAAGTACCTATTACATACATTTAAAATTAATTAATTGGTATATAGTATTTTTATTATGGGTTTGTTTATTTTTTATGAAATCGCACCCTTGCTTCAAAAGTGACACAACTCAAAAATTGCATTTTTTGAGTTAATAACCTTGAGAAATTCGTAAAAAGATGCTTTATTTTCCAACAAAACCGTATTAAATTAACTTTAATGGTTTGCCGATAGATGGCATTAGTGTCGTTTTTAATGATCAAAACAAGAATAAACCATTTTTTCAAGAGCGACATAATACCAGTTTAGTCTCTGATCTCAGCGGGAGCACACGCTTCCATCGGTCTTAAAAAGTGTTTCATTTTGAGTTGTGCCACTTTTAATGATCAACAGTGCAGTGATAATCAAGATTATTTGTTCTTGTGACAGTTTTGATGAAAAAACATTACAAACTTAATTTTAATTATTTTAAGTTGTGTCGTTTTAAAAGAACAGGTAAGTTGAAATATTTGTTTTTATTTTAAGTTGTGTCATTTTAGATGCTAAAATTAAGATTTGCTTAAATTTAATTAGATTTAAATTTCAATTAAATTTAAATTTAAATTATGCTACAAATATTTTAAAAACTAAAAAATAATAAATGTAAGCAAGTAATTTGTTTACTTGTTGTTTTTAAATATAGCATGTCGTAATTTTTGTTTTTTTTCAGTTTATAACCAATAAGTATGCAGTCAGCAGGTCGTACAGCCAAAATTTTAGAATTGGCCAAAAGAAAATTTGAAGTAAACAGTACACTATTGGATGTTACCAATACTAGAAATGTTAAACAGACTGAATCCGACTATGAGAACCAACCATCAACTAGTGGCTCGCAAATTTCTGGTCAAACACCCAATACAGAGATTTCTAAGCAGCTATCATCTAGCAGCCATCACCCAGAACCAATTCCCTTTGAAGTTTCTGATCCAAAAATAGTTCTTCCACTAGAATCTGATTTAGAAAATGAAGGTCAGACTAATTTAGCAGAGTCCATTAGCAGTGAATATTTAGGTAGGAACAAAATTGATATTTTTATATTTTATTATTTACTTAAAATTGTTTATATTGTTTTTTATTAAAATTTTTCTGTAGGAATATTTGCAATAGTAACGTAGCAAAACGTAGGTACTAAAAGATTGTGATTGTGATCTATTTTTTTGTTTTTCTTTAGGAGGCTCCAAAGGCATATCTCAAATGCATGTACAGTATGATGTATCGTATGAATCCGAGCGCCCTACAGTTTTAAGGATATTGAAAAAGCCAAATTACTTTGTGTCTCCGGTTCATAGCGGAGAAAGTGATGTGGATGACCCAGATGAAGATCCAAATTTTGATAATACTAAAACAACCTTTAATCTTAACCCAGTTTCCGGATCCGAAAGTTCGACCAGCAACTCAAACAGCAGCGAGGGCGAAGAACAGAATGAATACCCTGATGGCAAAGAAGAAGAGAAGAAAAAAAAAAGGAAAGAAAAGAAGAAGGAACTTTGAGAACTGGGGTGTTACTCAATCTAAAAAACTAAGGAATTCTGGACAGGCGTATATATCCAGTTCAAAATCCAAAAACAATTTCCTGCAAAAAGAGTAAGACCTGGTTGTGGTAAAAAATGCAGATTGCAGTGTGACCTAAAGATTAATGAGCAAATTAGAGAAGAGCTGTTTCGCAGTTACTGGGCACTGGCTAATTTAGAAAGACAAAGGGAATTTATCATTGCTCATTGTGAAGAAATAAAACCAAAATACCGTTATTCGAGCACTCAAAATGTTAGAAAAATGAATTCAGCATTTTACTTTGATGTGAACAGTAGTCGGGTAAGAGTTTGTAAGTTATTTTTTAAGGCAACACTTGACATAAACGATAGACACATTCGTACAGCTATTATGAAGAAAAATGAAACTGGTTTTGTTGGTAAAGATTTGAGGGGAAGACATGGTAAACAACCCACAGTAGATCGAGAAATAAAAGAAAGTGTAAGACAATTTATAAACGCCATACCAAGAACAGATTCCCATTATTTAAGAGCCCAAACAGAACGGGAATACATTGACAGTGGCAAAAGTTTGTCAGATTTACATAGAGACTATCAAGAAGAAAGAGAAAGAAGACAACTTCCATTTGCAAACTATATAATGTTCAATCGCATATTCAACACTGAATTTAACATTTCCTTCTTTGTCCCGAAAAAGGACCAGTGTGACGTATGTGAATCGTTTAAAAATGCCGATGAGGAAGGCAAACATAAATTAATTGAAGCTTACAACTCGCATTTAAAAGAAAAACAGCTTTCTCGGGCCGAGAAAGAAAAAGATAAAAATAATAATACTGCTTCAGTGGCCGTTTATGATTTGCAAGCGGTATTGCCGTTGCCGAGAGGACAAGTTTCCTCATTTTATTACAAGAGTAAAATGAATTGTTATAATTTTACTATCAGCGATTTAAATGCCAAAAATGTTGATTGCTTTTTTTGGAATGAGACCGAAGGAAAACGCGGTGCAGTGGAAATCGGTAGCTGTGTTTTAGAATATTTAAAATCCTTGGCAGAAAATAAGAATAATGATAATTTGGACGTTATATTCTACTCTGATAACTGTTGTGGACAGCAGAAAAATAAATATTTACTTGCTGCTTATATTTATGCTACAACCACGTTTAAAATTCGGAGCATTACACATAAATTTTTAATTCACGGACACTCTCAAAACGAGGGTGATAACGTCCACAGTGTTATTGAAAAGCAGATAAAAAGATGCCTTAGATCTGGTCCAATTTATGTTCCAGAACAATATATAACTTTAATTCAAACCGCAAAAAAAGAATGGCCCCCCATATCGTGTTCATGAATTAACTTATGAAAATTTTTATGATTTAAAGCTACTTCAAGAGCAAATAGGTCATAATTTTACAGTTGACACAGAGAAGAACAAAATAAAATGGCACGATATTAAAGTTTTAAGGGTCGAAAAAAATGAACATAATAAATTTTTCTACAAGACTTCGTATGAGGATAACATTTTTAAGACTGTATTTATTATGCTAAAAGCCAAAAACACTCGATCTCAGGACAATTTGGAAGTCAACTTACCTATACAATTAGTTCAGGCATATGCAAATAATTTACCATTATCGGATAATAAAAAAAGGGACCTGAAAGAACTGGCTGATAAAAACATAATTCCAAAATATTACTACAACTCTTTTTATAAAAATGTTTTGCAAATTTCAGAATAATATATTTTTATTCACCAGTTTTTTAGAAAATTTTATTTAATGTTTTCCTTTAGTTTGTTTTGTTTTAAAATCTAATAATTTTGCGTTTCTTTGTTGGTATGTACTAAGTATTTATTTACTTTGCGCGATGTTTGTTCCTCGTAAGTTCCTAATAAATGTTATTTTATTGTACTAATTATAAGATGCACTATTAGAATGTACATAAGATTCTTTAAAAGTACCTGTCCTGTTTAAGTAATTAAACGATTTAAAATAAAACTTGAATTTCATTTAATTTAAGGCACTTTTTTTAAAAAAAGAGAGTTTTTTTAAAAAATGTTTTCTTCAAAAATGACCAAAGTGCTTAAGACGATCGTCAAAAGTGACATGATTTAAAATATTTTTCCTAAAATAATTTTTTTTTTCGACAACAGTGGCACAACTACAAAAGTCATTAATTTTGACACTAAGTAGACGTTTTAATTAATTTATCTTATTTTTTTAGTTTTGGAAGGAAAAAATCATAATAATTACGTTTTTAAATTTATAAAAAAAATTATATTTATTTAAAAAACAGTTTTTTGCGTTTTATGGAAAACTTGTTTTTTTGAGTTGTGTCACTTTTGAAGCATGTGTGCGAAATGTATTTTTTTTATTAAAATAAACATAGCTAACTAAATCACTAACTAGCCATTTTTAAATACAGGGTGTTAATTAAGTATCTGGCCAAACTTCAGGAGGTGATTCTTTGAATGTTTTTAAAGTAAAACGTTCATATAAACATGTGTCCGGAAATGTATAATTTTATGCTTTGTTTATCCGCCGCGCGCCGGCCCAATCTAAACATCCATATCCATAAAATAGTTGGCTCGCACACTGCTAAGACCTCATTTCGGCCCTCGAACGTCCTTGCTCTATTCGATGATCAACGCGGGCTAAACTATCGACTTACGTGTTGACAAGTTGATTAGGCAGGTTATTGAACTCGCGTACCATGTCGCCTCTAGCATGTCGTATTTTTCGAAGACGGGTCCCATATAAACGCGGCCAGAAGTATTTTCAATACTAATAAACTTAAAATGTATTCTTATCATGCACTTTGTAAATATTCAAATACTGATATGTTCAAACACCTTCCTAATTATTTTTATGTAAAATGACTCTCAATTGTATGTTGTGAATGTAAAAAATAATATAAATTTACCCTAATTTTTATCAGTGTACTTTTATAAACTTTATTTTACACCACCAATGTCAGTCGACAATACAGAAATGTTGAAAATAGAATCGGGCGTCGCGTCAGGTCTCGCCTGAAAATATTTCAATAATGCACATTACATTTTTGCTGAACCCGTTCTTCGAAGCTTTTCAATAGAGATCACTTTACTGAATAGACATAGTAAAAATTCTTTTGTCGCCCACGATTATATATTTCTATCGCTTTATTTTATATTCTTTCTGCATAGGTAGGTAGTATCATAAATAAAATTATAATACATGACAAATATTCATCATTTGTTGAATTTGCTTTTTTGTTGTTTATTTGCTCCATGACGCTAATATAAATTTTCCGCCGAATATTTCGTTGTAGAATTGAAACCAATATATTATTGTGAAACTGCGCCTATATGCCTATATGGTTTCATAAAAATACAATAATAACCATTTTTTTTAAATATTTGTTATAAGATATTAGTGGAGTGCCCAGAAACTTTTACCTCGGAATTCAGTTACTGTGAATGTATTAATGTGAAACCTTCTGTATTGTGTTTTATAGATAAAATACTAAAATGTTTACCCATTTTTTTTTTCCTTGCTTTTAATTTTTTATTTTAGTAACTTTAGTAAATTTTTAAAGCAACGGCCTAGCTACGTTGAAACACCGGTTCCCATTAGAACACCGAAGTTAAGCGACGTATGGCGATCCTGACCGGTTCGAAACTCTGTATTGTGCTGTTGTCCAAGGGAAAAGTGTAAAATCAATTGATACACACTGCTCATTCACGCCGGTTGGAGGCCGGATAAGATCGGATATCTCGTGAGTAAGAGTTGATTTAGACACTTCTTAAGTCGGTAGGTTAGTTAGTTCAGATTAGCCCTGACAGCAAAAAGGAGACGTTAACCGAAATATTTACTTTACTTTTACTTTAGCAAATTTTTAGTAATTTTCTTCTTAATTTTTTGATTTTTAATTTTTTTTTCCTAAGTAAATTTATTGAACTAAATGAATCTAATTCTCTAAATCTAAATCTATTCTGCTTACATTCTAATCATTGAAATTTTGATTGAAATCGAATTATACAGGGTGGCGCATCATATACGACGCGGTTTTTGCAAGGAGAAGGAAAGTTTGTTTTGAAGTGAAATTTTGTGGGCTTATGTAAGTCAATTTATAGCATTTTCTAAAATTATATAGAGTTCTACAGGGTGTCCCCAAAAAAAGTTACACATCAAAGTTTTGTTTTTTGTAATGAAACACCCTATCTATTAATTGATTTTCGGATTCTAGTAAAAAAATAAAGGCGAGTTTCATTAGAAAAGTATATGACTTAAATGTATAGTTTTTAAATTACATTCACCGGCACGAAAAATGAGCACCTTCAAACTTTGAGGTATTTTAAAGTTTAATATATTTTGTTCCAGCTGGCCGATTTTGATGATTTTTTAAGCAGTATGTAGCCAAATTATCTGACTTCTTAGTATACATTTCTAAATTAAAAATGAAACTTCCCATCTGATAATTATACGAGGAAAAATAAAATGTTGATATTTTGGTGAAAGTTTGAAACACACTGTGGAATATGTTAAAACAGCAGGAATTCAAATCAATTTATCGTCTAGATACATCCTTTCTCGATAGTTTCTTTTTCGGTTCATCTCGTTAGCTTTATTTTTGCTGGAGATATTCGCTTTTGAAGAAGACACTAACATTTTTTCGTAACTTTTACATTAAAAATATGCCTTTGCTTTTAGTCCTAGTCAGCAGATCTAGTAAGTTCTGATCCCGAAGCAGACCTTCTTAACGTAAGATTTGCTTCATTTAGTTTTCTTCTTATAGACGGTTAGTTAATATGTAAGTTCCTTAGGTGCAATCCATTATAAATTTGAAAAGCTGGTAAACGGCGGTTTCTTAGCGATAAACTTAAAATAAATCGATCGTCTCGATTAGTTTCTGGACGTCTAGGTTGACGTCCTCATTGACGTGGTCATAATTCTAAAACCATTAAGTTATTTTATAATTTAATTAATTATTAAATTACACAACCGGAATTTTATAGCAAATTCACTGCACAGATATAAAGCATTTAATTTGAAAAACTAAAACTTAAGCGTAAAAATATATTTGACTCAC